AAATCTTTTATGTATATTTATAGTTTAAATAATTTATATGAATGATATTGTTATTCATTTATTACTTTCTAGTTTAAATTTTCATTTATAGACGCCATCTAATATCTTTACTAGTTATTCTCTGTTGGCAAATCTTTCCCCAAAGATCCATTCTTTTATTATATTGTCACTATCTAAGTTTTCGGTGTTATAAATTCGTTTGTGATTTTTCTTCATTATGATCTGATCATGCATCGCAATATTTCTATACTAGGCATGCACACATTAACTACATTCATGAATATTATAAACTGAGCACTGTACGCAGTACTTTATAACTTGATAACATCAGCACTATGTAATATTTGAAGTATTAGATCGCTTTATAAAATATTTATTACAGGTATGAATTAACTGTCACATTTCCTATAATGGTTCCATCTTTGAGTTCATTTTATACGTGTAAAATTGCTTGATAAATATATATGGCTGATTTATTTTATTTCTGTCTTATGTATATTAAAATTTTTTATCTCTAATGAATCATTGACTCTTCTTTTTGATTTCTTACAACTTCTCAAAAACCAGCACATCGAAACTTTTACACTTTGAACTGTTCTTTGACGATTTCCATTTCTATGAAGTTAGGGTCAGAAAAACAAGCTAATTAGTACGTTATCAATTTACTAAATTTGCAGATGTTTATAGTTTTTGATGGTTATCCTATCTTCAGATGTTTGAATCCTATTCCAGAAGGTAGACCAATTGCTGGGGAACTTGAAAACTTTATCAACTCTATCCGAATCCATCATATATCATATAGTAACCTACCAAAACAGATAAAGAAATTAATAAGTTTGCTAAAGTAGTTGCCAACTAATAAAACAATAAAGACATAGTAAAAAAAGAGAAGAAAGAAAGAAATAAACAATGGTTCTACAACTATTTTTCTTCTTTCAAAAGAGCAGCGTTCTTTTATTTCCCAACTAATGCTAAGGTCTATTAAAAAATAAATGAAATTCAGACTGACGCTTATAGTGCCTAAATATTTAAAGTCCAATGATTTATATCTGAAATAAAAATAAAAAATGACCCGTGCAGTTTTAAAGTGCATTTGAACTGTTTTTTTGTATTCATAGAGTCGAGTCTATCTAATTGCTTCTTTTCCGGCTTATTAAATCAAATTAAAATTAATCATTACAGAAAAACTTCTTTGATTTATGCATATACTTTTATTGAACTATTTAATATGAATGATAAAGATAAATGTATCAGAATATAAATATTTTTAATGGAGTACATGTATACGTATATGTAACATGATACACAATTTCTATCTGTATTACACGTATATGTAACATGATACACAATTTCTATCTGTAGTACATGTACATGTATATCTACATTGTAGATGTACAGTACATATACATTGTATTGAACGTTAACTTTTAAACGTATTAAAATTTATCGCATAAAAGACAAAATAAAAAACTTACAATGAAGGCTGACTTCTTATTGACTTGTCACTCTAATAAATTAGCAAAGTTTTATGAAAACGCCAAATATTGCGACATTTCGATCATTGTCGGAGATGTTCAAAATACTGAACGAACTTTTACAGCGCATTCATCAATTCTAGTGGCGCAATCTGAATATTTTGCTATTGCTCTTTCTGATGCGTGGGTAAAACGAGAACCTAACAAGCTGATCGTCTTTAAGAAATCAAATATCGAACCGCGCATTTTTGAAATCTTATTAAGGTAATCTTTTATAATAACGATCATATTTTAAATTTATCGTTATTAAATTAAAAATTAAAATTAATTGCTACGATCATACATAAGATACATGTACAGTGGTAAGATCGATTTGTCAGATTATGGGGTGCCAACACTTTTAGATTTATTGATCGCTGCCGATGAATTGATTCTTGAAGATTTGATTGAATATATTCAAGAATATCTTTTAGAACAACATTCTGAATCCATGGTTAAAAATTTTGCTTTGATAAATCAAACTGTTTTTCAACATAATCCCTTTGTCAAACTCCAGGAATTCTGTATAGAGATCATGTGCAAAAATCCGGTTGCGGTTTTTCAATCCAATGATTTCGTAAATATTCAAGAAACAGCAATCACCACTTTGCTCAAACGAGATGATTTAAACCTTAAAGAAATTGAAATTTGGGAAAAGGCTATTGAGTGGGGAATCGCTAACACGTCAGCTTCTGGTAACATCGATTTATCGATTCCAGTAGATCAATGGTCACAAAACGAATTCAATCATCTAAGCTCTACGCTCAAAAATTGTATACCGTTGATTCGTTTCTTTCATATAAACTCTGTTGATTTCTATAACAAAGTATTGCCATACTCGGAAATATTGCCAAAAAAACTTTACAAAGATTTGTTACATCATTATTTGGTACCTGGAAGTGAAGAACAACAAGTGTCACTTCAGCCCATTCGTAATTCGCACAACTCAATTTCAACAATTCTTTCTCGAAATCAAATCGATAAAATTATTCAATGGATTAAAGAACAGGATGCGGAGAAAAATTATCCATTTGAATTCAATCTATTATTACGTGGCAGCCGAGATGGATTTACTGCTAGTGATTTTCACCGTTTATGTGATAATAAAGGACCAACCATTGTTGCTATACGTATCAAAGATTCTAGCAAAATTATCGGTGGTTATAATCCCGTTGAATGGAAATCTCTTAATAAAGTATACCATGATGAAGCAAAGGGTAGCTTTTTATATAAATTTAATTCTGATGACATTATGGGATCCAATGGAGTTTTAAGTAAACATAAATTTGGCCAAAATGTATGTGACTTTCTAATGCAAGGTCCTTGTTTTGGTATTGGTCATGACTTAGGTTTGTTTTACAATGGTGATAATTATTGCAAAAAACTTTCTTATGAGTTTGGCCTTTTAAGTGAAAGCCATAAGATATCTTTTGATATCGAGGATTATGAAGTTTTTCAAATAGTAAAAAAATGAAAGGTATGTAATAGTTAAAATCAAGTATAAGTATTTCATGTTGTGATATAAATTTGATATATTATCATGAAAAAATTTATATCTACTAGATTTATATATATTTAAATGCGAGTGATAACTTAAATTTTTTGGTTTAACATAAGCATAAAAGATGATAGTTAGAAATTTGTTAATACAAAGCTTCATTTTCTAAGTATCATTATAGCTCTTTAAAAAAATGCAGTATCGATATATATCTCTTTTATGCAATGAAATGGTGCATCCCGTAAGTTATAACGGCAGTCCACAAAGGTCATTCTTAAATATTGATCATTATCATAAACATACCATTCGAATGGTTTTTTTCACTTAAATGTTTTTTTCAAATTGCTGATAATAAATAAGTAAAAAGTGACATGTTTAGAGTATCCATACCGGATTAGACCGGTATTCTGTATACGTGTAATTATTTTTCAGGTTGTAATATGTTACATTATTGTTTTTCTAGCAACTATCTTTTGCAATGAAATTTGTATCTCAGACTTGTCGAAATTATCTCGGCGAAACAATGTTGAATAGTTTCTTTAGGCGCACTAACTGGGATTTAATGACTTATTTTATGTTATTGTTTATGCATAAACCAATCATTAAGTTTATATGAATTTCTTTGTACATGTACTAATGGAAAGAATGAAAGTGACCCATGATTTCGATATTTATATAACTGGTTATGATATCAAATAAAAAAGTTATAAAATTATCAATTAATGCTTTTTTTCTCGCTATTTTTTCCATAGATGAATCAGGTGAATCTGCTCAGTCGCAGTCAAAGTGTCCGTGATAATAAACCTGGATACAAAGATCACTTAAATCAGTTAAAATCTCGACAAACTTCGTGTAGGTATTTCATCATGTTATTTTCAAGCCAATATTGCGATATTGCGATATGCACAGGCCGAAGATTATTTAACATGATTCTCTGCTTTAATTTTTGTGGTTTACGAGCATGAAACATCACACCAATAGGCCTTGTTTTCTCGCCTCTCTTTTTGCTATTGGTACTCTTTTTGTAGAGTTAACTTTGCGGCCGCGTTTTATTATCTTGAGAGTTATGAATATCGGTTTATGTCGTGAATGCGAAGACAGTAAATGAACTTAGTGATTTGAAGGTAAATTTATTCTATGAAGATAAAATATAAGGTAAAAAGATATTGTAATTAACTGTTATATTTTTGTTTGAATCTAAAAACGATAAAATTGCAACTACGAATTTTTGACAAAATTTCATTGTTCAGCTGGATTTACATTCGCTCGCGCCTATGTAATAAATTCAATTAACACAACATTTGGTGCACGTCTCTGTTTAAATTCAAAATAAAAAACATACATTAATTGAGTTCGCCATAATTTAAATTTCCATTTTCAAAAACAATAAGTAAAGAATTACATTGTAATACGCGATTTTTGACTTGTTTATGCTTCAGAATTTACTAATATATTTTTACAATAAAAATTCGACCATCTTTTTTTTTTTACTTTCTTGTCAATTCTGTGAGAAATGTTATTTTAAATTTATATAATTCATGCGTAATCCTCGGCTAATTTGGCAGTTTTTCATTGACTTCTTGTTCCTTATCTTTATTTAAGCGAGAAGCTAGTTGAAATTGTTACAATAATTTGATGTTCTACGTTTAAAATTAAGAAATGTTAGACTAATATATGTAATATTAAATTTTAAGTGCAAAAAGATCTTTTGTCTATAAATCTCGATAAAATAAAGTAATCATCAAAGATAAATTCGATTTCCTTATGACTAACTGTTAGAGCATTAGAAAGAAGTATTGATTAAGGCTAGAGAATAAATTAAAATGATATATGATGATATATTACTAACATGCAACATTTTCTTTTTGAATTCTTACATAAATAAATTGAACGCCCTATTTGCTGTTATTCTTCTTTATATTCCTTATTTCATTTACAAAGCTTTGAATTATTAACAATTTCAATACGATTCACATAAATAACAAACAATGACTCTTTTTCCTGTTCTCAACATTACTATTGCTTTTCTGTTAATTATTGGAAAGACTACTTGCATCAGTGCTGGTAGGAAAAAATTTCTAGAGTATTTCTTTATTCAGAATAGGACATGTACTAATAATAAACAATAAATAGGGAAATCGATTGCGTGCGATGGCGTAATCCAAGTACACGATCAACAAGATCTTGACGGTTTACAGAACTGTCCAACCTTCTCAGGCACAATCGCAATAATCTCAACTTCTCTAAAGTCGCTCATCATTCCGCATGTTCAAAATCTACGTGGGACAATCGACGTACAAAACAACGCTTTTCTGGAGATGATAGCGGTTCCTCACTTGAAGAACGCGAACAATTTTGTGTTGAACGAAAATCGCGCATTGAATATCGTTGATGTGCCGTCGATGACTCAAGCAACCACGTTTAATATTAACGGTGCCCCATCGTTAAAATCCATTAATTTTCCTTCGCGTCTCGGTCAAATCGGAAATCTGGAATTATCGAATACGGGTGTGAGGGAATTGAACGGGGTGGACGCAAAAGCGATTAATAGTTTAAGATTGACGAATAATGCGAATTTGGAGAATGTTTCTCTGACAAATACTAAATCCATTGGATCAATTTCTCTTTCGAATAATGCAAAGAATGGACTTCATTTCGATGTAATGTTTTTTCTATTTATGATTCTTATTTTGAACGTTTTAAAATTTACATACGAATTTCTTTTTATATATATATGCATATATCTAGGCTCAGAATTTAGATGAACTTGGTGAAGGCGAATTCAAAAGTCTTGCATCAACTTCACTTCCATCTCTAACCAAGGTAAAATCCAGTTTAACATTCAGCGAAAATTCTATGAAATCACTCGAAATTCCAAAACTATCTGAAATCGGTGGAACATTGAAAATTATTTCAAATGACGGCCTCAAATCAACTGCTTTTCCAGAGTTGGCTCACATTGGCGGAACACTTCTCCTGACAAATAATCCACAGCTCGACGATATTAATGGATTCCCAAAACTCGCAAATGTCGATGCTGCCGTTGATGTCACCGGCAGTTTCAATAAAATGTCGATGCCGTCGTTACGTGAAGTTCGCGGTGGGATGAATGTACAATCGAGCTCAAACGAATTCAAGTGCGATGCTATTAATGGTCTCAAAGGGAATGTGGTCAAAGGAGACGACGACAATTTTGCATGTGCCTCTGGAGTTACGAGCCCAAAGCCACGAATCAGTAAAATCAAAGCTGACAATGCTAAGACAGATGAATCGAAAAAAGTCGACGAAAAGCCTGCCAATAAAGATTCAATTATTGATAATGTAGAAGAAGAAAAGAAAAAGAAAAAGAAAAGTGATGGTGACACCGTAAAAATATATAGTTTTATGAGTTTGATTATTGTGGTTGGGATCAACCTAACTTTTCAAATTATTTATTTATACATGTAATAATAGCGATAGATAGCGATTTGTGTTAATAACTGAAAAATACAAGATTCTTCATTTGGAAAATCATAAATGTTATCTTTCTAGCATGTTTTGTGTAACGATTTTTATTTTATGTTATATTCTTTACATTAACAGAAATGATGCTCGTTGCTCAATTTCTAGCTTGAAATATTATTTTTGAATTATTTGAAAGACTTCGTACTCCATAATGCTAAAATTAACAGTTTCGTTTGCACCTAAAAGACCAAATTCATAAGAAAATTTGAGGCAGGAGTTACAGCCTTCACCAAGAAAATTAGCTCCTTGCATCACTAAATCATGCCCACCTCCAAACATAGGGCCAAATTCTGCATAACAACTCACACTCCGGGAACCAATATGTCTACTCAGAATTCCATTAGGATTATCGGCATCAAATTGAAACAGAAAACTTTTGATCTCAGAATAATAATCTACATTCGTCGAGCTCCATTCAAAAGAGTTGTATCCTCCAATAATCTTTTCAACAGAATCTTTTACGCGAATAGCAACAACAGTTGGTCCTTGATGATCACATAAACGATGAAAATCTTCAGGTTTGAATCCATCTCGGCTGCCACGCAATAAAAGTTTGAAATCGAGTGAATCTCTTCTCTTTGATCCATCTTGTTCTTTAATCCATTTTAATACCCTAATCTTTTGCTTATACGAAAGGAATTCGGAAAAGTATCGGGCTGAGTGCAAGTTCGCTTGATCGTCCTCGCTCCCAGGTACCAAGTAATGATGTAGCAAATCTTTATACTGTTTCTCTGATAAAATACGAGAATATGGCAAGATCTTGTTGTAAAAGTCGGCCGAATTTATATGGAAGAAACGAATTAATGGGAGACAATTTTCAAGAATTGTTTTGAGTTTGATGAACTCGTTGCTCGTCCATTGTTCTACTGGGATTGTCAAATCAATCTCATCAGAGTCTAACGTTTGGGCAATCCCCCAATCAAGCACTTTTGTCCAAATGTCAATTTCTTTAATCTTCAAGTCATCTCGCTTGAGCATTGAAACTAACTCAGATTCATTGTATATGGTAAAATCATCTTGCTCATACTTTGCAGCTGCTTCAAATTCCGGGTCTGTGCAAAGTTCTTGAAGTAGATTAAAAGTGTCATGCTGAAACGCAATTTGATTGACTAATTCAAAATGTTCTATCAAAGAATCAGTAAAGTGTTCGAAAAGATAACCTTGAATATAATCAATAAGATCTTCGAGGATCAGTTCATCAGCTGCCTCCAACAAATCCAATAATGTTGGTACACTATAGTCTTTCAAATCGACTTTTCCAGTGTACATGTATCTGAAAAAATAACTCTATCTCTTAATAGGTTATTTTTAATAATGATGATCTGGGTGCTTTGAAATTACCTCAACAAGACATCGAAAATATGAGGCTCGATATTTTGCTTTGTAAAGACAATCAATTTATCATGTTTTCGTTTCGCCCAAGTGTCCGACAATGCGATACCAAAATATTTCGATTGGGATACCAATATTATCGAGTGTGCTGTGAATTCCCGTCGAGTGCTTTGGTTACCGCCAGCAATTATTGAAACGTCACAATAATTAGAACTTTCGTAAAGCTTTTCCAATTTATTTATATGAGATGCTGATAATTCTTGGGGTGTCATTTTTGTTTAGTTATGAAGTGGTTTATAAACTCTCCCTTATATTTAAACCACGAAAATGTGATATTTATCACAAATACATGCACATATATCGATATAGTAACGGGCAACACATTTATCATCACCATTTTTGTGTACATGAATGAGAATACTGCGCATGTCTAAATTAACATGAACGAAATCCTGAATATTTTAACATTAATACACCGCAGCATGGAATTGGGCAACGTAATCACGTAGATCCCGATCCGCGTGATACTGGGCACGGGATCAGATCTCGTGATTAGTGAAATTAGCAATATACAGTTAGTATCGGTATATGCAAACCGGATGCAGCGATGCATCAAAGCCATAATAGATGCATCGTTGGAAAGGATGGTCTGATACAGAGTACACCAAATAAATCCCGAATATATGTACCAATAGGGCGCCGACTAATGAATCAAAACAAAAATGATTCATTAGTCTTGATATCACGAAGAATGGGATGGGAAAGTTCAATTATAAATAGAGAAGACTTTAGAGTAGAAGAAAATTTAATTTAGTTCAGTTGAACTATAATTGTAATAAACTTTTATTAAAAATAAATAAAGATTGTTACTACTCCTACTTAATATATACTTCTTCAAATTATTATTGCAAAATTATTATTGATCTGTCCCAATTTCTCTGTTAAAAAAGAAGTTTATCATAAAATTATGATACTATAATCAATAAATTATCTTCTTAGATAGAAACTAGTAACATCACTATTGAAAAGAAAGTCAATTGGGCAACTTGACAAGAGATTAATACAGTTAATATCAGAAAGATTTAGAATTTTTATATAATATATAGAATAATGAAAAATTGCTAAAATTATCTGATAATTTATACATATCTTTCTTATAATCTGTAAATAAAGTTTGTATATATATTGTTACACTTTTCTTAATAAAATTTATTACAAAAAAAATAAATCAGATTCAACAAAGATTAAGTTTATATTATTAAAAATACTATTAATAATTTTATTATTTTATTTATAAGAAGGAATAATAATAAGAAGAAGTTATTTTTCTCATAATTCAGAAATTAAAAAAAGAAATTCATTCTTTAATAATTATTATATATCTGAAAACTATAAATAAAGCTTTAAAAATTATTAAAATAATATTCATAATTAAAAGCTTAATTTTCTTTATTTTTTCTCTTATTTTATATTTTTATTAGTTTATTATTATCTTTAGTTATAATAAATTCTTTATTCTGTAATATTAAAAGATATAATCTATTTTTTTATAAATATAATATTTTAAATCTTGAGATTTGAATCATGAAAATTAGAATTTTTTCTAATATATTTATATATTTTTGATTTATTTTTATTCTTTTTTTTCAATTTTTATTTTTAACAATAATATAAATTAGTTTTATATTGTTATCATAGTAACATAAAATTTCTTAATTCTTTAATCTTTTTCTAGTTATGAAAAATTATATTTTATTATAATTTTCATTTATTTTATAAATATTCCTATTTTTATGTCATGTATTATTATATTTATCATCACATTTCTATTTTAAACATTATATTCTATTTAATATTTAGGATTTATATTTTTATTATCTTGTAATACAATATTTATGCACATAGTAGAATAGTATAGTGAAAGATTAATTTTAATTTTGGTGAAATAGTTACATTTGGATAACAATTTCAAATGTCTTTCCTTGTCCTTTGATATCTTTCAACATTCTCTCATATTCTTTCATATCTTTTCATATTTTTCTATATCTTTTCATATCTTTCTACATCTTTTAACATTCTTTTATATATTCTAACATTCTTTAATATTCTTTGACATCTTTCAATATACTTTAACATAACCTATTCATAATTATTTATATTATAATACTTTAATTATATTTTATATATTAGATAATATTAACTAGTAATACTATAATAATTTA